CAGGGCTACAAGAAGACTCTGTCTCAAAAAACAAACAAACAAAATGTTACTGAGGATACAAAACAATATGATATAACCATTCTGCATCCTCCTCTGATCGTTTCTCTTCTCAAATAATGATCTTTTTCAAATTCTTGAAGTTCAGAATTTAATATTCTGCAAGATTACTTTTATTTTCACTGGATATATTAAAATGTAACATGTAAAAATATGTTAGTAAAATTTCTTGCATACAGTATAAATGTATATTATAATCCTATTAAAAGTTCAGCTACTTTTCTCCTTAATATAATAAGTACAAATTTTTGAATGTGCATGTTGACCCATGGCATTTTTCAATAGTTCTTGACTAGTCCCTTGTTTCTGTGACATCTCTGGCCTCTCAATCTCTTGTGTGTGTGTGTGTGTGTGTGTGTGTGTGTGTGTGTGGTATATGTGAGTGTACATGTGTAAATGTGAGTTTATTTGAGTAGGTTAGAGGACAATGTCGAGTGTGCTGCTCTATCACTCTCCTTTTTATTCCCTGAGACGGAGTTTCCCCTGAACCTGGAGCTGGGATTGTGGCCAGTATGCCCCAGCACTCTTCCTGTCTCCCTCCACAGGGCTGGGGTTGCAGGCACACATGGCCATGCCCAGCTTTTAATGCAGATTCTGAGATCCAAACTTAGGTCCTCCTGCTTGTGCAGCAAGTACTTTTACTACAGGGCTGTATTTTCATCCACTCAACTCCCTTTTCTGGTAGAGCTGTTTAGGCCTGCTGAGGTAAGGTACCAGGTAGCCCATCATTTGATATCCTGTAGACTGAGGGAGCAGATAGCCAAAGCTTCTCTTGATTTGACCCTGTGGAAACTCCAGTGACTCAAGCAACCTGTCTGCTATTTAACCTTCTATCCCTATACCTATAACCAAGGTGTTTTCATTTTCTGGAATAATCATATTAATTCTGAAAGCCTTTGAAGCCCTCCATCATTTGAAATGATAAGCCTACAAATGTGACAAAAGTATACATTAGTTTTTTCAATGAAGGAAAAATCATTTCTTTAAAAACTAAGTAGAATGAATAGTATTAGGTCCCGAAGATTTCAGAAGCCCTCTTCTTTCACTGATAATGGATTTTATCAGCTCTGTTGCTGACAGTTTTACTTCTCTTCTTTGTGTGACAAGGACAATTAATACTGTCTGAAATTCTAAGTCCAAGGTGAGTTGAGCTATTATCTCCAGAGATCAAGCTCCTGCTTTACGTAGAAGGCTCAATGCTTTAGCCCACAATGTTTCATTCAAAACATATATCTCTTTAATCTTGGTAACATGCATTATTTTCCAGTTGGGAAAATTGTTTCATATGAGGCTTTTCATTCTAAGGAAATTTTAGAGGTAAGAAGAATATTAAGAATATTGGTTCTGTATGTCAAAAACTAATCCCTCCTCCTTACACATACCCTTTGCCCCTGGCAAGCAATTTACCTGGCAAGTTTTGAAATTATCATTTTAAAATTAAGGAAAACATTATCTATATCTATACTTCCCTCAGATTAAGGGGAATTATTTTGCCAGAAGACCTTCCCCATTCATATCCCAGGTTAATTTGCAATCTGGGTTGCTAGTGGCTGGAATCAACTGCCTGCATGGTGGCTTGGTGCCTCAGTGTGAGAAATCAGAATGAGGCCAAGTCTAGTGAATAGAGATCCACACAGATAAATGCTATTTTTGTTCCTTCCTCTGGTACCAAGCCTATGAGTGTGTGTGGAAGGGGGAGGGAGCCTGGCAACACAACAGATCACCCCTTACTGCCACCTCTCATGTCAGGATAAAGCATGTGTTTATGTGCTTGATGGAGGGAAGTGAAGAGACTATATCCCATTTTCTTTCTTTCCTTGGGTAAAGGACTTAGTTCTAGTAAGCGCTGTTAGAATTAGTACATTTAAAATTAGTTGAAAAGGTAAAGAGTTTTAATGCCTTTTAACATAAGGGAACATTTATTTTATTTAAATAACCTCAGATTTTGTAGCTCAGTGGCTAATTACCTATATCAGGAGTATGGCTTATATTCAGATACAAGGTCTATTTAATAAAGTTTGGGAGTGGAATATGAGCCAGAACAGTCTACCAAAACCTTTATCACCATTAAACAGAGTCAGATCTCTCAAACTGACTATTTCTAAACAGTAGAATTAAAAAAAAAAAATTTTGTTAAAGGTAAGATTATCCAATTAAAGATGTTCCTTACCAAAAGGCAGGTCATATTTTTATAAACTGTGTGCTTTGTTTAGTTACAACATGAACTGTCATTTATCAAAACACAGTCATAATTAAGTACACTGAATCATGGAATTGTTTGACATGTTGAATGGATTATCAGTTTTATTGCAATTTTTCTTTGATATAAGGGCTTCTGTATTCACCCTTAACCTGAAAATTCAGGAGAGCATATTCCTCTTTAGATTCACAGAAATCAATAGAACTGACTTAAATTTCCAAGCACTTCTGATAAGAAACTTCAGAATTGTATATATTAAGCACTTCTGTTATGATTTTGTTAAGAATGGTTTTCTCTTCAGTAGAAATTAAAATAAATGTCTGTAAAAAGTATTTTTCCAGACATAGTTTCATTATGTACCCCAGGGTGTCTTCAAATGTGCAATCCTCAGCACCTTAATCTAGGATTGCAGTTACATGCCACCATACCAGGGTAAACATTTACTCATTTTTTACAATGATACTTGCTCTGAGTACAGTATTTAATGTATAGCAATAATTATATGTATTTGTCATAGCTTATAACATGCCTGATCTTGCATTTCAGCATATTATTCTTATAGTCTTACATTTTTATATGGCAGATTATCTGACCTTATAGGAAGAACTCTGTTTCAGAGCACTGCTTGGATATAAGGATATATTATCTAAAGAGCAGAAAGAGGCTGATTGTTAGTTACGTATACTGCTATTAACTTCTTTGTTATTTACCATGCAATAAAAAAGGCAGCATGAAAGACTCTTGCTAACAATATCTGACTTTTTATATTGCCATCCTTGCATCTGTAATAGTCAAGGAAAGAGCAATTCAGAAAGTATCCAAATCATTGTTGCTAGTAGATTGAGACATGATCATGCTGTTGTTAAAAATAAACACTGTTGGAACAGCGATGTGTGTGTGGCGGGTGGATAATAAACCCTGTAGACCAGTTTACATGAACTCAAATCTAAATGGTCAAAAGCTGTATAACTTTGGCAGTTACTGAAACTATTTGAACTTTAATTTTATTGCTTCATCTATAAAAGCAAGGTTGTTAGAAGCTTAAGTGAATATATACACACATATAAATATATATTTCAAAATATATATTATACATATATTCACTTAAGGTATATAAGAACATATGCTGTCTTAATTTTAAATCTATATAACATATATACATAGACACTTTAGAGCAGTTTTTTTAGATAGCAAATTCTATTTAAATATTAACTATCATCATATTGCCTTACCATTTCCATATCCAAATTCTAATAAGAATGAAGTTAAATGATCTGACAGGTCTCTTATCTTAAAGGCTTAAAGATTTTAGCAAAATGTCACTCATAAGAAGTTGAGCAAGCACAAAAAAAGAAGCTCTAAAGCAAGTACTGAGTTACTAGACAGGCCAGTTTTTCCTGTATCTATACCCAGCTCCTTGTTGAACTTCTAGAGGAACTGACAGTTAGTTGCATTTGTTTTAGGAACGATAAATTGATATGTTCCAGAGACAGGAATGAGGAAACACATAACTACTGTCCTCACTGCCTATTATTAAAGAAACAGCCTTGAAAAAAAAAGGTATAATCTCATATGAATAAATCCACTCAAATATCAGCTCTATGGCCAATTCATCTACTGGTTCACTGCTGTATCCAGAGTCCTGGGAAGCACCTACTAAATACTAGAGGATGCATAGCAATTTCTTAGATAAATAGAATGAATGAAAATCTTGCTCTATCCTCTTAATAGGAGCAGCATTGAAAGCAAAATAAAACAGCATGTGGTCCTACTTCCAGGGAGATTTCTGAGTCCAAGGATGTTGGTGGCCTGGCAGTGGGGGCCAAGAGCAGTGTGTGCAAGAGGTGAGTGCAGATAAGCATACTGAGCTAGCATCTCTAGAAGCATCACAGGAACCTGGGTGTGAAGTGGCACCACACTTAACTCATATTCCCGTGCATGTCACCTGTGAATCAGTTACTTTGCCCAGCATCTTCCTATCCTTAGTGCCTATACTTAAACATTTTTCTCTGCAGCATTTTCAGAAATCTTTAACCTGTAAGAAAGTGTCACAAAAAACTTAAGTGAAACTTTCAGCAAATCTACAGCTTACTTTAAAAGTTTCCATTCAACTTTGACTAGCTAAAATAATCATAGATCAGTTTTCCTTGATCTATGTCACAGGTGGAGTTGATTATACAGTATTACTTATAATTTAGCTCACAGCCTCAGAGAGTGGATTAAAATAACACTCTTGGAGCTATGTCCGACCATCAAATTTAAATACATATTCTTTTCTATTCTCATAGCAAACTTTTTGTGAAAAGACAAAATATCCCTTTTTACAGCATAGGCAAGTGAACGATTCAAACAGAAACCTACTCATTAATACACACTGTAAGTTTTCCTAATGATATTTGTACTGAAAGCTGAGAAGTTATTAGTCATCCTTGGCTGAGCCACAGGCAATCTACTTGCGTTCTTAAATACAATAAAGCAACAAACTATCTTACAGTACATTATTAATCAATTATACATAATTTCTTAGAGTGGCTTCCATCATCTCACTTAACTTTGGGGCTTCTAGACGTCAATAATAAGTCATTAAAAATCTGTCATGGATTTATAAGGTAAATTACTACATCAAGTCAAACTCTGGGTTTAGAAATATAAAGAATTTTTTTTCAAGTGAACCATGGGAGGAATATGATGAAAGCTCACATCTGTAAAAATAGAAAGCAATTAGGTCTCATGTAATTAGAGGGAGGATTCAGATTCATTTTATTCCAAGATATTGTGTTTCTATACTTGAAGGTCTATGTAGAAAAAGTGTCCTTAGAGTAAGAACACCATTGAAGGTGGTATAATTTCACTTGGCCCTGGGACATATAGGGTAAACGTTTTACATTATTGCACAGTAACAAAAGTTTACAGGCATAGAGAAAACATATCTGATCAACATTAACACACTTAGTGTTTAAGGCTAACCGACATTGGAAAGCAACCATTTCCAAGATGATCAAATATTTTAACACAGTGTCACCTGTAAGAGTTGATAGAAAGGATTTCTCATTTCACAATATGTTCATGGAGTGTTATCACATTCATCAACTTCTTTTCAAACTTGTATGCTAGACAGAGGCACTTTAATAGCTGGGAACTGCAGCTTCAGAAATATGAGACATGGAGTTTCAGCCACCATTGGTAAAAATGACAAGGAATTAAAATGAAATTGCATTAAAAAGAACGTAAACAAATTGTTAAATCAGAAAATTTCATTAAATCCTGTAAAAATTATTGTTATCTGATCTCAAGCAGTTGCAAGAAAAGAAAAGATATATAGCTTTCGCCCATCTAGGTTCAGATAAGTGAACACTACAGGCTTCTGATCTTAAGGTATTGTGGTTTTGCTGTTTGAGCTTGTGAAGGTTTTAAGATATTGATGAGTTAAGTACATTGATTTATTTTCAGTAGTATTTTAAAGTATTGTACTTCACATGTAACTTCCAACTAGTCTGAAAAACTAAAATTTCGAGTAAAACAGGTTGGAAGAGTTTAGTAAAGTGTATAAAAAGGAAAAGACTGAAAACAAAACACCCCATCTTAAATGTGTAAAAATAAATTGCATCCATTTGTCAGGCTCCAACAACCTTTTTTTCTTCCTTTCTTTTCTTTCAGTCTTAATTAGTTGGGACATACTGCACCTGCCACAAGACATTGGACAGGAGGTCCTGGTACACGCTAAGGAATAGCCAACCAGGTAAATACATCAAGGTGATGAGACCCATGAAATTGAGCGGGTAGTGAGAATAGTCCCAGGAACAGGCTCCACACATGCGAAGTCCCAGACCCCAGGACAGCTCCCATGCATAGATGAAGATCACATAGATGGGCACCCTCTTCCAGGTGCCCCAACCGCGGCTGTAGTGGAGGTGGAAGTAGAGTTTTTCCACCACGAAACTACAGCTGCCATACATGAAGAAGGACCAGAGCGATGTGTGGCCACTACTGGTGCCGTCCCCGTGTCCCAACACATTAAAGAAGAAGGTGAAAAAGATCTCATCCAGAAAGCCATGCATTCCAAAGAATAAGAAGCGGAGGAGGTCAGGCAGTCCCTGGCCAGGGGCTCCTTCGGCGCCCCGGTGTCTTCGTGGACCCTGTCGCCAGTCACCAGACGCTGCAGGGACCGGGGCGCTGGGGACCACAGGTAGCGAGTCCCTCTGTTGCTGCTGTCGCTGCCGTGGGTACCGCAAACGCAGGAAGCGCTTCAAGAACACTTGACAGTGGTAGAGCGCCAGCACGTAGTGTAGCGCCAGGTCGAGCGCCCCAGGCACCGCCGAGACCCCCGGCCCGCCACCCAGGCTGAGCAGCAGCGCCTGGCCGGCCAGGGTCTGCAGCCCCACGTGGGCCGAGGGATAGAGGAGGAAATTGAAGACGAAGGCGCTGGGGCAGCGCGGCCGCTGCAGGTAGAGCTGCTCCAGGGCGAAGTGGGTGAGTGAATGCAGGAGGCAGCTGTAGGGCGACGAGAAGCCCAGCATCCGCAGATCCGGGCTGCGGGCGAAGCGCCACGCCGAGGACAGCAGCACGTCCAGGGTGATGCCGTGCATCCCGTAGAAGTAGAGGCGCATCCAGGCTGGCAGCGCGCTGCCCGGGGTCGGCGCTTCAGCAGTGGACAGCGGCTCCGGCGCGCGTCGGACTACAGCGTCGCTTCGCTGCCCACCCGAGGCTCCGGGTCTCCGCGCCGCGCCACCCCTCCGCACAGCTCCGTCGCCGGCCACGTCGCTGCCCGCCATGGACTCCGGAGCTACCTTGGCGCCCTAGCCCGGTGCGCAGAGCTGCGGGGCCAAGCGGCAGCGCCCAGCGCCTCCTCCTGGCCGCTGGCCCACTGGGGGCGCGCTCCGAGCTCCGTCCCGGTCGCGGTCTCGGGGCTCTCGGGGGACGCCCGGTTCTCCAGCCCCCGAGAGGTGCCGCCCACCCGCACCCGCGATCAGCCTGCGCGGCCTAAGGACTGGTGCGGCCGGGCGAGGGGAGGCGACGCCGGGGCTGCGGGGCGGAAAGCCCAGGCAGGAGGCTGCCCCATCCCCTCCGAGGCTCAGCCCCGCCGCCTCTGCCGCAGGCTCCGGGAGCGGAAGGCGAGCCGAGATGGCCCTTCCCCCGGCCCTTCCCATACCCCTCTCCGCCAGCTCGACCTCTCCCGCCTTCCACGGCCCCCGCCCCGCCCAGCCTCCCGCACACGCCGCGGGGGTCAGCTCGGGAAGGCCATGCCCACTGCGGGGTCCCCTCCGGTGGGGTGTTGTTGGGGGCGCGGGCTGGGAGTGGAGAACCCCCTAACAGGTGTGACTGAGAGCTCTGGGGCTTTCCCGGTACCGCGGAAACCAGGGCCAGGCCTTGGCTGGCGGAGACGAATGGCTCGGTGCCACCAGCCTGAGGCCGGGCCCAGGACCAAACTGTGGTGCTGTATATTTAATGTCCTTATGCAAAGCCAGCTGTGTCCCAGTCACAGGGAGTAAACCCGAGACTCCACGCCTGCCTGCCCATGGCAGCCTGCATCTGAAGGCTGCCCAGGGACCTGATTCACTTTAGCAATCTCTTCTTCCGTTCGTTTACTGGGGGCCAAGGACAGAGATTCCAAGTCCTCCAGAATGTGTACAACGTCTTGAGGCCAGCCTGCCTGAGTTGTGCCCTGGCTACTCTGGAATGGGGTCCCCTGATGGGAACAGCATGTTTGTTGCTACGGACCCAGCCCAGGGCTGGGTTTTTCTGCTTGCTGAACTAGATCATCTCAGAAATAGAGGAAAGTGAAGCAGAGGCCATGGTTTTTCTTTTCTGTCTTTCCTCTTCCCTGTCCTTCCCCCTCCTCCCCTTCCCTCCTTCTTCCCCTCCCCCTCCTTCTCCTTTTCTTTTCCTCCACCTTCCTCTTCCTCTGTCTCCATCTCTCTGTCTCTCCCTCCCTCGCCCCCCCTTCTCCCCTATCAGGTATATAGGGTGGAGGGGTCTTCGAAGTAAACTATATGCCCCACCCCAATTCATATCTAAGCAGAAACTGGGTAACAATTTTCCTGTTGGTAGTTCAGATTTCCCAAGGATAACATGCTTTATTGCGGGGGGGGTGGGGGGGTGGGGGTGGTATTTCTTCTGGAGAATAAGCATTCTCTATCAGATCTACTTTCTAAGGCGTCCTTGTCCCCATTCTTTCCCCGTATTTATTTCAGCCCTTTAAGCCACAATCTGTGGTGGCTACATCACTTCTGACTCAGGTAAGAGAATTAAAGTTAGATGAGAACAAAAATTGCTCTGGTAACAATCTGCAGTTGCTTGGGGGTCAAAGTAAGGGTTTTTCTCCTCAGGTTTGCTAGCATGTTACTTCCTTTGGTAGCTGTAAATGGAAGTCGTTACACCATGGACAAAAGTATCAGGTGGCAGGCTCAGACCTGCTGTAAAGCAAACAGGGCAGGTTACCCAAAATGTTTGAACATCCTGAAGAGAAAGAACATGGTAGAATGTACTTTCTCTTTAAGAAGTGGATAATCTAGTTTAAATGATATAAAAGAACCAGCTTTGCCTGATGGTGTGCACACATAATTCCAGCTCTAGGGAAGATGAGGTAGGATGATGGAGACTTCAGATTAGCCTCGACTACCTAGCAAGACCCTTTCTTTTGAAAAACAAAATAAAAAAAACAAACAATGAAAAAAGAAAGAATTAAGTGATGTGAAATTATCAAACTTGAAAAAACCTACTTGTGAAAAATATTAACAATAAAAGTGGTGACTAGCTAGTATTGCATACGAAGGTAAAAACTGCTTCGACTTGTTATTGTACTTGATAAGTTGAGCCCCCAAATACCTGCACTTTAACTTCGCCATTGCTATTCAGGCAAGGGAAAGAACTCCATCATAAATATGGCACATATTCAGCCATTCACACATGATAAGTTAAACTTTAATTGTTTTACAATAGTAAATAAGCTTTAAAAGCCTTGGTTATTGGTGCCTTCTAACTTTCCCCAGAACATAAGAATAACTTGTGCATGTATGTATATGTGTATATGTTCATGTTCACACATAAATATTTTTGAGACAGGGTCTTACTGTACAGCCCAGGGTGACTTTGAACTCATGATTCTCCTGTGTCAGTTTTCTGAATGTTGAGATCACTCTCATATACCAACACTTCTATTTCTATATTTCAATTTTAACATTGAAAAAAATTCTATTTTGTGTGCTGTATGTGTTTAGTAAAGTATTTAAGCATAGTAGGGCATTATAAAATGTATGTGTAATATAGGGAATGTGCTAAATTTTTAGTGTAAGTATATAGAAAAAATTGGGGCTCACTATGGTCAAGTGGTGTAGCATTCTGTCAAATGAAACTACTGAAAATCTCATTATTCTAGGCCCTTTTCTGAAATGTTTCCATTTTCCTTAAAGTGATGCAGCATTTAAATGAGCAGTTCTAGGGCCAAGATATAAAGCACAGCTGTCATCTGTGTCTTCCCATGTTTCTTCCATGTTTTCATTGTTGTCTCCATTATAACACTACAGAATGTGAAACATATTAACCTTAAAAACGAAAAAAGAGACATTAAGCATGAGACAAGGTACAAGAAAATGATCATTGATTATACAAGAAAATGACCAGTTTTATACTGCCTTTAATTAACCCACAGGTCCAGGATCTTGGCACTGTCCTTTGCTGCACTCCGAGTGTCTCATGGCAGATGGCAGCACAGTGATGGATGTATGTGCAGAAGAGAGCACATGGTGAAGTCAGGAAGCCAGAGGGATGGAAGGGTCAGGCGTTCTTGTAACAGTAGCTCTCTTGAGAACAGACCCACTCCAGCAGAGTAACAATAGAGTCTCTTCATCTGCTCATCCTTTGCTGTGCTCCCTTCTCATGGGCTCTACTCCACTTAACCCACTCATTCTGGGAATAGGTCTTCAACATGTGACGCTTTGGGCACCGCAGCAACCAGTGATGATGCCAACTTGTGTTTCTGCTTTATCTTCATATTATTTGTTTTGTTTTAAACACCTCATCACTATATTTGCAAACCTTTTCTTCTTGCGTATAAACTACTGGATGGATTTAATGATCTATAATAATTTTATAACTAAAATTCTCACATCCGTGTTTCCATGAATGTAAAATACCTAAAAGCATTTTTTAAAAAATTTTTATTTATTATTTTTATTTTATGTGTATGCATGTATTGCCTGTGTGTAGGTAAGTGCACCTGTGTTGTACAGTGCTCGCGGAGGTCAGAAGAGGCTGTTGGATCCCCTGAGACTGGAGTTATGGACAGTTGTTAGGTGCCATGTGGCTGCTGGGATTTGAACCCAGGTCTTCTGTAAGAACAACCAGTGTTCTTAACTGCTGAGCCATCTCTCCAGCCCCCCACCCCCCCCAAAAAAAACCTTTTGTGTTGTCCTTTCCTGCTGCAGGAGCCAACACTGCCAAGGTACATCTATAAACACAAGAAGTTCTTAGGAGATGGTGACCATAGGAGTAAGAGTAATGCAAAGGAAGAATCAGAAAGTTGCAATGAAACAGTGTGAGACTGAGAAATCTTAGGTTTAGGGGCAGCCATTCAAAGAATGCTCCAAGGCACTGCTCTTCTGTGCATGGTAAGGGCTTCTTTGACTTCAAAAGTTAAGAAACTGTCTAGGTAAGCATATTTGTACTGGTGTTATAGTGCCTATGGGGCCAATACTGATCTTACTGGACTGGCCAGTTTGATTATAACTTGTATAATCCTAGAACTGGGTTAGTCAGTGTAACAAGGAAGTAATTTGAGAAAACCAGTCACTTCAGAGGATTGTGATCTTTAGTGATTTGCTGCCTAGTGGCCATAGGTTCAAGGTTGTTGCCTTTTAGGTATACTATGTGGCTGTGACTGAGTCTTCATTGCACACTGGAAGATCCAAAGGAAAATGCTTGGAGAACAGAGAATTGGAAGAAAATCCAAGGGAAGTTGAACAGAGTGAGGCATGTTGAATTAAATTTGGTTTACAACTGCCTCTATATACACCTGTATGTTTCTGCATACAGCATAAATTGTAACCTAAGTTGAAGTTGATATGTAAACATTTTGTAAACTACTCTTGTAACAAGTTGCTCAGTGTCTGCCGATCATAAGTGTAAGTCCTGATTGGTATGCTGACTTTTGTTTTATTTGTTTTTTTTCATTTGTTACTTATTTAACTTTTTTTCTGTGCTGTGGATATAACCTAGGGCCTCAAGCATGCTAGGTAAGCACTGTATAATTGAACTGCTTTACAATCAGTGTTAAAATAAAAAATGAAGTCAAGCCTTGCTCTTTGTACCAGTCCTGGGCACCATATGGATGCTGTGCTGGATAGCTGTAGTGTCAATTTGACACACCTGGGTTGAAGGAGCCTCAGTTGGGCAATTGCCTTCATTGGACTGGCCTGTGGCCATGTCCATGGGGCATCTTCTTGATTGTTGAATGATGTGGGAGGGCCCAGCCCACTGTGGGTGGTGCCACCCCTGGACAGGTGGGCCTGTGTTGCATAAGAAAGCAGACTGAGCAGGGGTCAGGGAGAGCAAGCCAGTAAGCAGCATTCCTCCATGGCCTGTGCTCAACTCCTGCCTCCAGGTTCCTATCTTGAATTTCTTCCTTGGGCTCCCAGATGAACTGTGACCCAGGATATGTAAGCTAAATAAACCCTTTCCTCCCCAAGTTGGTACTGGTTAGAGTGTTTTGTCACAGCAATGGAGAAACAAACTAGGACAGATGCTAAGACCCAAGATAACTCTGAAGGATCTTTCCAGAAGAAAACTGCCCAGATGTCTTGTGAAAACAAAGTTTTTACCTTGTCTTTGCTTTTTA